TTTTAAGCTGCAAGACGATACTGCAATTAATCAAACGCTATTTTTTTCTGTTAGGCCCAATATTTTAAATCAACAAAAGTACCACTCAGTTTATCAAAAGTTTGATATTTTCATCAGAAATTGTCAACGTACCTTGTTTTATTAAATGAAGATTTAAATTAGTTTTTTAGGTTAAGAATTATATAAATACTTTGTTGGGTGCTTCTTGCAATCAACTAGATGTATACTATTCAGACATTCCTTAGCCAAAGATAAATAAACAATCAAAGATAACAAGCCTATGTATGAAAACCACACGAAGCAGACTGAACTGGATTCCTTTAGAACTGCATAGTGTGTGATATGTTATTTCCAAATTACAAGAATAGATTTTTAAAATGTGTCAAGGGAATTTAAATTATTAGTATGCATTATAGAAGGTTTAATGAAATATATGTGTATACTTGATGCTAATATAACGCCTTTATCGATACCTTTGGATAAGTTTATATAAAATGTACAACAAAGGTATTACCTATTTTGATTTGGAAACTTGAGGTCAAACGATCGTGTTTACATGGCATAAAATAATAATGTTTGCACTGGACTTATGGATCATTATTTTCGGAATTGGAGTTTATATATATTGATATGACATATTGATATCATTGCTTAATCTAAAGTTGGTTTTTTTGTATCTCTGATGATTGCTTATATGCTTGCCGTCTCTATTATACAAGGTTATTAAAATAATTACGGAATGGCAGATGTTTTTGATAGGAATCGTTTATAAATAGTTATTATGATTTGTTAAATATGCTGCCATGCATTTCGTAAAACAATAAAAATATAACCTTTATTATGTATAATTTCTATATTTATTTATTTTACTTAAAACACGATAGCCATACTATATCAAATTGGTCCATATGATATCATGTTTATGCAAAAGGCAAAATTTGTTTTGCCAGACATAATGACATGCGAAAAAATTTATTACGGCAACGAACTATCTTGAAATAAAACAAATGAGGAGATAAACCTAGTAAAGTGACATAACTTTTACAAATCAATAGTACGTTGTGTGACGGGCAATGTCGTAACTCTGTTTAGAGCTTCTTAGTAACAGATTATTTTAGTTTTGTATCACATGACTAATTTGAAGTTTTATTTTATCGTTTAATCAGGTCTATCCCCCTTAAAGCCTGACAGGTGAAACTTCTTTGTGATTCACATATCAAATCCATGAAACATAAGCTTTGAGTTCCTGTAGTCCCACCTCAAATTTCTTTACACTTGCTAGATTTCTTAGCTTGTCAACAATGTAAAATAAAAGATGATAATGTTTTGTCCTTCAAAAGGCATATGCAGATCTTGAATATATCATGTCAAGGAGGAATATTTGCAGAGTCGAATGAATGTAAAGTTCCTCCTCAAAACTTGCATTTTGCGCAAATACCCTTCCTGAACATGATATATCTGTTTAAAATAAACCAAAAATCAATGGGGGTGGTTAAGTTAAACATTCGATTTAATTCCATTGTTTTTTTCGCTGCCATAACGTTAGCAAAAACATCTGGATTTAATAAAACGCACAAATGACCAAAACGTCTCCGTGAAGGGTAAAAAAAAGAAATATGTTTTGGCAAATAATGAGGTAGAGAGTGTAAAAATGTAATAACAAAAATATCAAACTCCAAGGTCAAATCAAAATGGCAAAAGTCAATAAAAATAACAAAACAGAACGTTCGACTTCATCAACCACCATTCCTGGACTGAAAAAAAAACTCACATTTGCCTGATGAGCATGGTGTGTTGAACCTGCTATACAGCTAGCATAATCTTCCACTTTTATGACAGTTGTATTTACACAATCGTGACAGCAACCCACAACACTGACAATGACATATTCTGGTGCATATAAAGCAGCAGTTTTGAAATATGAACGATATCCATTAGATAAAATAATATGTACAAAAAATACACTCGCTGTCAATCAAGCATTCTAATATTAGGAGTAATTACGAGTAAACGACGATATCATAGTATCAACATTACAAAATGAACACAAAGACCTCATGACATTCACAGGTGAGAATTACACTAAATAAAAGACTATAAGTAAGCCATTGATGTTTTGTATGCTAATAGTTTCAAAAAGTGATTTGTATAATAGATGCCTGTAATTGAGTGTTAATTGTTATGTTATCATATGGAAACAATACAAATGTTAAACATTTTTCTGTGAATAGTATGATTTTTTTTTAAACTTTTTTTATTATTTCTTGTATTCTAAACACATTATTACTATAAGTTGTATTATTATCTTAACCGTTATTATTGATATTAATTATATTGTTGTTGTTGCCATATATGATATTATCATGAGTATTATTATTATTATTATACCTTGCATATATCATAAACAATTATATTGGGTAAAACACTATCACGTGACATGGAATAATTCAGTTAATTTTCATTTTAATTCAAGGAAGCACGAATAACCCTAAAAATTAACACCCAGCGATGAATAACCCTAAAAATTAACACCTATTAAATACCGGCGAATAACCTTTTGAGTCTCTTAGTTTCTGCACGAGTTATTTCCCATAGAAAATGACGTCATCAACACCAGTAAACAAAATGGCAAGCCGGCGGTTTGGTAACTCGACAGAGGACGATATACAAAGACTTCTTTGTGACAAAGACGCTAAAACACAAACAGAGCGACCAAAGCAGCTTTGACATGTCTGACGCAATTTATGCTATCAACAGAAAAAGATAACTTGGTATTTGATACAACAGAACAACTGAACGAGGTTTTAATCAGATTTTACGCAGACGCCAGGAAAAAAGATGGTTCACATTACAAATTTTTGGCTCTGAAGGGATTAAGATTCGGACTAGCCAGACATTTTCTTAAGGAGATGAATGTTGACATTATAAAAGACATTAGATTCAAAAGGGCAAATGATATAAATAAATTCAATAAATACTGATTTCATAAAATACTCTCTTTAACTTGGAGTTAGTCAAATAAAAGACAATTTGTAAAATAAAACTGAAACAAATATTCAACAAGTGCAAACACTGTTTGTTCGGTATAATAAACAAATGTGGCCCTAATAGCGGTGATTATCCAAAATTGTCAACCCTAAAAAATTATTTCCATTCGGGCTCCGCCCTCAGGGAAATAACCTTTTAAGGGTTGACAATTTTGGATATTCACCTTTCCTAAGGGCCATAATTGTATATTATTATTATTGTTGTTATTATTATTATTATTATTATCATTATTATTGTTTGGTCTTTCCACTTTTCCGTTCTGATTATTATTTTTTTTTCTTCCGACTAATTTTTTGCTCCCCTGGCCCAAAAAAAATGTGTTCGATGAACCCGCTACCAACCACGATGGCCGACATGGGTAAAAATGGAACATAGAGGGTAGAATGCAAGTTTTGTCTATTATTTTGAAAACCGTTATGAATAGAGAAAATCTGACCGAAGCAGAAATGTTTAGCTCTAACAATCGCCTATAAAAACTGTCAAACGACTTCTTTTAGGATTATTGCCCTTAAATGACAAATGTTTCCCCTTTTTTTCATGTTTGCCTATTATCTTCAAAAGATAGAAAATGCAAAAATGATCATCAAGTAAAGTTCTACAAATAAATAGATAGATAGATAGATAGATAGATAGATAGATAGATAGATAGATAGATAGATAGATAGATAGATAGATAGATAGATAGATAGATAGATAGATAGATAGATGCCCTTAAATGAGGATTGTTTTGTTTTGAGCAAAAATTTAAAAAGATAGAGAGAAACTATACAGAGTAAATGATCAGCAATAATAAAAGATCCACAAGACAAAGATTTTTGTCATGAATTCTGTTCTCGTCTACAACATGTACAACATGTACAATGTTGTAGAGTGTACTTTGTTGAATATGCACATAGACCAAGTTTAGCGACACAGGCTCTTTAGAGCCTCTAGTTTTCTTGCGCTGTGTTGTTGTTGTTGTTTCAAAAGATGTCGCTTAGATATTTGGTATATGATATCGAACAGATAATGCAATTTTGAAACTGACACCGCTTACCTGCACACTTTTCTTTGTCGTTACATATATATTTTGGTAAAAAGGATGCGTTGACATTTAATGGGAGTTTCCTCCCCTCTAATGTATAAAATTAGCTGAATTAGGATATAACTCATTATCCATATATAGTAGAGACTTAGGGTCTTTTGATTTGATGTCCTGATTTATTTGTATTGAGTTGTGGACTATACGTTCCTGATACAACCATAAATAAAATAAACAAAGATATTTAGAGGAAAGCATGCTTTGTTCAACAGCTGAAATGTGGCTAAGAAATATGTCATGCTTTTAAATCGCCACAAGTGGACAAAATTAGCACAGCGTATTACAAAAGTTAAGCGAAAAATAGTAAAGGGATATTATAAATCACTTGTTGAAACTAACTGACAATACGATAGAAAAAAACGATTAACGACAAAGAGACATGCAACATTCTAAAAAAACACAGCATAGCAAACTAGAAAGTGAGCAACACAAATATCACTATATATCGGTGGTGGTCCCAGGTGTTCCGGCAGTGATGGGTAATCAAATTCACGTTGGTAAAGGTTTCATAACTATTATTTTTTTAACTACAGATCGTATCATTATTCATTGAATATTCCATTCATTCCAAGTTTATTACCGTAATTTCTCGCTATTCGTTTTTATTTTCTTTTAATGTTTTAAATTTGAATTGATGATATTGATCCTTGAAAAGGATTGAATACTATATTTATGAACATATTTGACAAACACGTTCAAATATGTTTATTTCAAGGTCGACGCTAGATGGAATATGATTTTGAGTTACAATAATGAGACAATTTTAAAGTATGAATATTTAAATGTGAGATTTAACGATTCAAAATATTTACACTCTGAAAAAAATACATTTTGTACATAACCATTTATAATATACATAGTATTTGCATACCTTAAACTATAATGTTGAAAGAGTTTTTTATTCTCCTCCATCCTGTCTTAAAAATTTATTTGGTCAGTCGTAAAATATATCTCAGCATTCACTTTCATACCGAAATGAGGCACAAAGTCGTGAGTAGACAATACCTTCTCCAAAGTGTATTTTATACTCCCTGTTACTAACCAATCAGTATTGGTCAGATGATCACAACCGAACCAGTCAAAATGTATATAGTGAATATAATATCGATTTTTAAATGCGTCTCTGTGTAATTTATTTCTCTTCACTACCCTCATTAAGCTGCACAGTCAATGTGAAACGTAAAAGAAGTGAAACAGACAGTTTATTCATTCATAAAACATATTTCTGACACAATCTTAAGATTAAACCCCTAAGAGAGGGGACAGTATTTTTATTGCTTATCTAATTTTTAGTATAAAAGTGAGGCCTTTTACGCAGAGTTAATGCAAGAAATTACAAAACCCCGAAAGTTATTGACAGGATACTTCACTTAGAGTTCAGACAAATTCCTACTGGTAGGGTAATTCTTTGCTGGTTGTTTTTAATGATACATTGGTGCATTAAAAACTGACACAGATGCAAAATGATATAGATAAATTCCGACACAAAATACAAAGCCATCATTATCATTATCATTATTCAGAACCCTGCTTAAAGTATATATCTTTGTTAAAGGATACAAAGAGATCTCCCCCGGTTTTTGGTAAGGTTCTCGTTGTCATTTTATTTTCGACTTATGAGTTTCAATGTCCCTTTGGTATCTTTCGCCTCTCTTTTGCAAGAAATTTGGTGTCAAAAATACTTTTCGGGTAACTTTTAGCCACATTGTCTCATAAATTCATACATCTCCAGTTTTTTACAACTTAATATCAAGTTCATTTGATTGATGCTTATTCGGAAATGTACAAAAATGATATCGTATCTTTGTCAATTTGAATGGTTATATTTTAAACAATCATGTAATTGACTGGTGTCTATTTCTTGATTTTCAAGTTAATATGCATATGGCTAACCCCATCTTTAACTCCTAAACTTTAGACTGTAATATATCCTGAGTAGCGTCAGGTTGTTATCGACAATTATTTAACCATTCTATTGTTATTGGTGCTACATTTGTTTTTGTTTCTTTACATATACATAATATTCTATAGATTCCTAGCTATGAAGGAAATCATGACATTCAAAGTAAACTATATAACACGTCTTGTACTTATTTTATGAATACGAAAAAGGTATACACGAATTTTTTTTTATTATTTATTTTATTCATTTCTTGGAACATATTTTTATTCTTTATTGATTAAGTGATTTTTGACGAATTTGTTTTTACTCATGGTGTTGTCTGGGTCTTTTTCTTTTGATATCTGTATTTCTCCGCTTTTCCTTATTTACCTTCAGCAGCAGCGCTCAAACTCAAAAATCTTAACACTAAGGATGTATAAATATCTGAATACGTTCAAACCAAAAAAATTTGAATGTAATAGTAACATTCATATAAGGTCAACTTTACATGAGGGAGATGGAACCTAAGTTTTTTTTTTTAAATGAATAAATTTATAATCAGAATAAAAAAAAAGTGTGACATAAATCATGTCAGTACCGATAAATTGAGTTACTTCTATAAAAAAAAGAAGGTAAAATAGCAACAAAAAAAACCGAACTCCAACGAAAATTCAAAATGGCAGTAATGTCTCAGTGTTAGATAATGAAAATATCGCATTATACCTTTGATGCGGCGTCCAAGGCGCTTTTTTTCTTTACTTTAACCAGGAACGCCCAAACTTAAACTCTGTTATTTGTTTGTATAATGATTAAGATTATATTACAATGTTGACTGCTGTACCCCAATTTTTGTCTTTTATGTCTGTTTGTTTTGCTCACACATTATTGTCAATATAATTGAATTATATGCGACTGTCATACAAGTGAGAGGTTTCGCTAGTTATAACACCAGATTTAATCCACCATTTTCTGCATAAGGAAATGCCTTTACCAAGTCAGGAATTTGACAGTTGTCCATTTGTTTGATGTGTTTGAGCTTTTGATTTTGATATTTGATAAGGGACTTTCCGTTTTGAATTTTCTTTGGAGTTCGGTTTTTTGGTTATTTAACTTTTTCTTGTAAGCCAAATGCTTAATTCATTTAAGATCAACATTGCCCGATGGAGTGGTTGAATGACATAAACAAATTAAGATACAATGTATAACGAACGAAGGTATATAAAAAATACTGAACTCCAAGGTAAATTAAAAAAGGGGAAGTCTATAAAAACTTGTAATCAAACGTTATTGATCAACGGAACGAGTGATAAACAACTGTCATATTTTTTACTTGGTACAGGCACTTTAAATGGTGGTAATAACCTTAGTTTTATAAGTAGCTTAACCTCCCGCTTGTATGACAGTTGTTTATAGCTCCGTTATATTGCAAAAATTGGGTGAGGAACCAAAAGAGACATTGTAGTTAAATGTGAAATTTTGGGATCCAGCATCTATCACAACTGACTAAACAAATTCAAACAAACATACGAAAGAAAACCGCTAAAAGAAAGACATACACAAAATGTAATTACATGTTAATGTAATGTTGTGTATATGGAAATAAGTATTAGATAATTGTATGTGTCTCTATGACGTATGTTAATAAGATAGTAGTCCAACACACAAATATTTAACGACATACAGAGGCCATTGCTTCGCTAACAACGATCTGACAACGCTCCGTTTTATGTTCTGTTTTAAAAACCTGTTGGGATCCTCTTGAATTTTGGGGATGATACGTACCTCCAAATATTAGGAGGCAGACAATTTATGTAATAACCGAACAGAAAATGCAATTCAGTGTTGTCAGATCCTTGTAAGTAAAGCGGTGATACATGATCTGCGACTCTTTTCACAAAAAATCTTACGATAAAAATAGATCGTAAGTTATACTGAAATGTGTATGACTTACGAGTATTTTTACTCTTAAGTTTTTTTGTGAAAAGAGCCGCTGTATCGTAATCAGATTGGGCAACCCTTAAATTCTCTCTAGTCTAGAAAAATTAACGGAGACTAATAAAGATTTGCCATCCGTATTCACTATAATTTCACGGAAGGTTGTATATTACAGGTTGTATCATTTGTGTATATTACAGACTGTATTAGTATTCAGTAAGTAATCAATCTCTTTCTAAGTAGATTATTTATATGTACGGTTATTTCGGGATTTTTTTTCGATTTTCTTAATGTGTATCTATTTTATTTGATCTTTTAAATATCCCCATATTTTAATCTATTGTAGTTTCAGAATGATATATTTATGTATTTGACAGACACGCTCAAATTGAGATATAATGCTATGTGTCACTAAAAATAAGATTAAGAGTAAGAGTAAAACAGAATAACGTTTTCTTCTAAACAAAATTATTTTAATTCATACCTTAAAGAAACATATTAATCTTCTTTAATCTGTCTTAACAAGATTTATTGTCGGTTTTTAGATAAAGCCTACCTTTTACAATTTCACCGAAATAAACATATATTTTTGGAAAGTACGTATAATTCGCCGAAAAGTCCTTTTTACTTCCTATTTTTTAACAAACACGTTTGATTTCCGCTGAACTAATCGAATAGTATTTATAATATCGATCTATATAAAAGTAACTATTTGTACTACGTCTGTATTTATTAACTTATTTACCTTCTTATTCCATTAGAACTAGAAAAAAAAATAGAATAGAAGGGTTGTGGATTTATAATTCATGAAACAGATATCTGACACATATTAAGAAACAATCGAAGCAAACGGACAGTACTTTTATTGGTTTTCTTTTTATTACATTCACAGTGAGGCTTTCAAAACAAAACAACAAAAAATCAAACCGCACTAAAATTTCAAGAAAAGCACTATCACTGGTTTAATAATTATTTGCATAATGTTTTAAGGCTACACGTGTTTATTTACGACTGAAATGAACGAAGGATATAATATCAAAAGTTACACCCCTGAATTTCCAAAGTAATTTAACAAATGCTCTCATTTTAAGAAAAACGTATTTGTAAAAAACACATTTACGCGATCACTGCTTTTTTTTTTTTTTGCCGGAGTAAGAGATTGTTCTTCCGTCCGCTTTTATTTGCATTTTTTTTACCAGTATATAAATGTAGATGTAGAGAAACAGTAACACTGACAAATAATCTATAACATGTCTGGTACTCAAGTTATGAACATTGACTTTCCACAAATATTCATGAAAATATTTGCACAATAAATGGCAGTATTTTTGTGAATTATTTTTCTTTTTTTATCTATTTAACATGTGTATGGGTTTCTTTTTAATTTTTTGTTTTTCTTTCTCCACACGGGAAAATAGTCGCGGCAACCTTGCTCAAAATATTCAAGCAACATTTATTAATTTCCCAATTTCATCTTTTTGCATTTTTGCGGTTCATTATAAGAAATATCTCAAAATCAACAAATTTAATTTAGTTTTTTTTTATTTGAACATGTTAAAAAGATTTTGAAAAATATTGTATATCTATTGAATATACATTGGAGGAGATGTAAGGATTACGCCAATGATACAGCTCACGTTTGGTGTTTGAAAATAGCCGTTGTTTCTTAAAAGACCAGTTCTAAATTGTCCTTTGTCTAAAATGTCTACATAGAGGCAACAGACACTATGCAATATATGCCATCCACACCAATCCTCCGAATAAAAAGACATTCACTAATAGCTATGCTGACTTTGGGAAGGTACGAAATGCACTTCAAATGTTTATTGTAACGTTGATCCCGCTTTTATACATATAGTTATCATTATTTTATGAAATTGAAAATTCTGAATCTTTGACAATGATGTTTGGTTGTTCTAAATGTATGAGATTGATGTTCACATACATTTGTATAATTGACAATTATTGTATGAATTGCGCGAATACATCATTGAGACAATAACCTATTACTAACATTAAAAAACACATAAAAAAAATCTGTAGGTAACCATACATATCTTTATCAAATTTTACAGTCCAGAAAAGTTATTCTACTTGCAATGAGCAACACGATGGGTGCCATTAGGGAAGATGGGTCTTCGTATCCATCTGACGCACCTGAAACACCCCTATTTTGGAAGATCGTCTTCGC